GATGTTGTAGTTAGTGCAGCTGTTTACTATCATGATGTTGTAGTCAGTGCAGCTGTTTACTATTATGATGCTGTAGTCAGTGCAGCTGTTTACTATCATGATGTTGTAGTCAGTGCAGCTGTTTACTATCATGATCTTGTAGTCAGTGCAGCTGTTTACTATCATGATTTTGTAGTCAGTGCAGTTGTTTACTATCATGATGTTGTAGTCAGTGCAGTTGTTTACCATCATGATGTTGTTAGTACAGTCATTTGCCAACATAATGTTGTAATTAGTGTAGTTGTTCACCATCATGATTTTGTAGTTAGTGAGGGCTGAGTGGTCCCTAGGTATGGCATCTGCCTCAAGTGCTGAAGGTCCCAGGTTCAGAGCCCGGTGAGGGCTGGGATTTTTTCTGGTGGACTTCTGGTAATTTCTCCTGGTCTCTGGGTAGTAAATCCGGACGCCCGTTTATATTGTTGCACACGTAAAAAATCCCTTGACAGTTGGAAATTAAAAAAAAAAAGAAAGTAGCTTAAGGGCACTCCCCAGGCCAAATTTGGAGTTTAAAATGTTAGTTAAAATTCTACCCAAAGTATCTCAGGATCTTCGCCGGTGTAATGGAGTTTGTGCACTGGTGTGCACTTCAGACTCAGGCTTGAGTTAGAAAAGGAACAGAGCACTCATGGGTTACACCCGTGTGCTATGATGTTGATTCGTTGAATAAACATAAACATACACATGTTGTAGTTAGTGCTGTGGTAAATACGGCATGGGAATTAATGCAAAGAAAAGCAAGATTTGGCTAAATAGTATCAATAATCAAGTATCTACAAATATACAGATAAAAGGAGAAAAAGCTAGAAGAAGTTGAAACTTTAAAATATGTTGGCTTCCACTTATGTAACAATGGCAGCTGTACTAAAGCGATCAAGACAAAACTTGATATGGCAACAGCCGTGATGTCGCAGCTGAATGCGATGTGAAAGAGCAAAATCAGCATCACTGTTAGGGTCAGTAGATACAAATCACTGGTGTTGTCTGTTGTCATATACAGATGTTAGAGTTGGACTCTCACTGTGGAAATAGAAAGGAAGATTCAGGCTTTCCAATGTGAATGCTACAGACGCATTTTACGAACTTGTTATTTAGAATACAAAACTAATAAATATGTCAGAGACAAAATATACAAATGTACAGGACAGCAGCAGCCTCTCTTGGGAGTGGTGAAACGTGGCAAGCTAGCTTGGTTTGGGCACGTGGTGAGACATGATTCAATAGCAAAGACTGTGCTTCAAGGAACATTGGGGGGTAGTCAAAGGAAAGGAGGGCAAAGAAAAATCTGGAATGGCAACATAGAGAAATGGACACACTTATCACACACTTATTTATTAAGCGAAAGACAGAGAAAGATGGTAGGTTTTATATGCTAGTGCTTCCATCAATACACCTCCACGCCGCTAATGGGTCAAGGGTTATGTTATGTATGTTAGTTAGTACGGTCATTAACCAACATAATATGTTAGTTAGTGCGGTCATTAACCAACATAATATGTTAGTTAGTGCGGTCATTAACCAACATAATATGTTAGTTAATGCGGTCATTAACCAACATAATATGTTAGTTAATGCGGTCATTAACCAACATAATATGTTAGTTAATGCAGTCATCAACCAACATAATATTGTAGTTAGTGCAAAAGATGGACAGCACAAATATCAGAGGCACTCAAAAGTACTATATATGAAGCAGACAGAAGGGCCTGTTACAGAGATCTCTTCTTACACTGATTTCATGAGGCATTGCAGGAGTAGAGAAAAGAAGAAGAAGAAGTACCATTGTTTACCAACAAAATGTTTTAGCTAGTGCAGTTGTTCACCAGCAGAGTGTTGTAGTTAGTGCAATTGCTTATCAATAGAATGTTGTGTTTAGTGCAGCTGCTTAGAAATAGTTTTGCGCTTATGCAGCAGTTTACCAGCAAAGTATTACAGACAGTAAGTTGTTTACTAACACAGTGTTGCAGTCAGTAAGTTGTTTACCAGCAGTGTTACATTCAATGAGTTGTTTACCAGCAGTGTTACATTCAATGAGTTGTTTAACCTTATAAACCAAACATACTGTTTGGATATAACATTTTGTTTGCATGCAGCAAGTGGTGCATTATTTTTAATATTTATCAGTAAAATGTTAAGAGGTCACCAAAATGATGTAAAACAGTATACATTGGCTATTAATATTTAAGTGTAATTTTAAATAATATTTTTTATTAGTCATTGATGCTCATAGTGTCCGTGACATTTGTAAAAGGGGTTAGATATTGTAGTGCTGAAGTAATCATATTTATAAAAATACGAAACTGATGTTAGGAAGTGAAATGTTAACATTTCACATATTCTGTGTTGGAGTGCAGAGAACAGTTCCCTTTCTTTGTGACATTTTTTGCCCCAACATACACAAGGTACATGGTAACATTTCTTATTTACTTAACATTGTGACATGTAATTTGCAATTTTACAATAATAGAAATATTGAAACACTACTGTTCAATAAAAATTGTATTTGTTAATAATATATCCCCAGTAATTGTTTTATTATACACAAATTTGAAGTACTAAATGCCATGATTTTCCTTTAGTTATTTATAGTTTTTCCATTAGTGATATATATTTATATCTAGTCATCCCTTTTTGAGATGCAGTTTTTCGTGATTTGTAGCTCTACTCTGGCTCTTGCCAGGGGCTGCAATATAGCCCGACCATAAATATGGTCTAATGGCTGAACACGGTTTCTGGGACCTCTGCACCGGTGATCCTTATCCACATGGTGGTACTTTGTGTCATCAGGTGTTCATCGCTTGTGTGATGTCTTGGTGGGGTAAAAGAAAATAGATAGATAAATGATATATAGTTTGCTATTAGTTATAAATAGTTTTCCAAATAGTGATATATAGTTTCCTTTAAGTTATCTATAGTTTCCTTTTAGTTATATAGAGTTTTCCAGTTAGTAATAAATAGTGTTATTTCTTGTTATTTGAAATTTGCAGTGTATTGTATCTTCTTCTTTTATTGACATTGCTGCTGCTGCCCCTTCTCCTCCTCTGACCAACTTTCTTCTTCTCCTTCTCTTCCTGCTTCTTCTTCTCTCCTTCCTGCTCCTTATCCTTCTTGTCTTCCTCTTGTTTCTTCTGCTTTTTATTTTCTACAATTTTGCTCGCCTGACACATTTCTGTGCCAGACTCTTTACTCTTCTGCTTCTTCTTCTTCTGCATTTCAAGTCACTTAGGTTCATTGCTGCAGATATTACCCGCCTCCACTCATCTGTCTGGTTGGCCTTCTTTTTCCAGTTGGTGACACCATGTGTTTGCAGGTCTGTCTGGACCTTATCTCTCCATCGTCTTCTTGGTCTGCCTCATGGTGTATGACCATTCAGCTCCCTTGTGTATACAGTTTTTACCTCTGTCATCTGAAATTCTCTCAGTATACCCCAGCCATCTCAGTCTGTTAGTTCTCATGATGCCAGTGATCAGTGGTGATTTAAACAGATTATGAATTTCATTGTTGCTACTAATATGAATTTCATTGTTGATTCTCACTCTCCATTACTCTTTACTGTCAAGACAATACTTCTTGCATTTCTTTTTGTCTGCAATAATGTCACTTGAATCCACAAAATTTAATTCTTTTGTTCTGCACTATCTTCCTACTTGCCCTCTTTTTATGCATACCTAGTGGGAATAATATATATTTCCCCTCCCCAAAGTGACTATTACGCTGAACTTTGACTATATCTTGGTGTATAAGTAACTCAAGAACCCTTTTCAACTAATTAGAAACATTGGTATATGGTGCCAGATCCACATTATTGTTAGACTAATCAGCATTCATTGAGTTATGAGTTAAGAACTAACATTTTCGCACTTGAGACATTCCCATAAGCGCTCCTTCCCATCTTCAGCAGTAAGCACAGAGTTCCAGTTTCGATGGCATCAGTAACAGTCTGATGGTATGTCTGTCTTGCCTCTCCCTTCATTCATCGAATAATGTGGTCCACACTACTCTAGCCACCTTTACTTCCTAGGACCTTCATATTAGCCATTTTAAGCTTAGTCGCTTAGTCGATCTGGGTCTTAGGTTGATTATGTTTCCAACCTGCTGATAATTTGAACCCAAGACATTCCGGCCAGCAGGAAAGCATCGGGCCACTGCAGCTGTCTGTCACGTTGTCTGTATATTTAAATTGTTTGCTCTTATTTTTTATATATAACATTTGAGCGGGGTTGTTTTGTTTCTTTTTGTTTTGTTTTTTAGTTGAATTTAATTCAAAACCTCCATTAAAAAGGAACAAAAAACACTCTCTAATAAGGTTTATTCAGTATTATTACACACATTTGCTTTGGCAAAACCTGGTCTCTATACAATACTGCCCATGCTTTTGACTATGGAGAAGTATTGAAATCCCCAGCCATCATTGTGGAGGACTTTTTCATAACACAGGCAGGTCTTTCTAATCACACTCACCGTCACCATGGCCTTTGATTCCCAGGCCTCCCCATAGCACAATATAACACCATCATCTGGAAATACAAAAAGGGGTCAGTGGGTTTTCCCAGTTGTCCACAAGGCAGTGGGACTATTGAGTCCACAGCAAACTCTTAAAACATATTGCAGATTGTAATTGAATACAAACTTGTTTATTTTATACCAAGTTGACAGTGCATCAAAACAGAGAGTTTCCACACCTGGAGAGACTGATTCTTTCAGAGGTGAGCAGAGGGTTGGAAGGGTATTTACCGCTGACGGGAAAATATACGGTGACGTTTAATCAGGTTTCCACCGACACTATTAGTATGGGATCTTTTTGTTGGCTAATGAAGAAGAAGATAGAACACAATATAGTACTATTCCGAGAACATTGATGCCAATTTTGGAATCATTCATTCATTCATTCATTCATTCATTCATTATATTTTACAAATTCAGGGCCCAGTGCCAATGGGATGGCTGAGGAAGACTACAACTGCATGGATGAAATGGTTGTTATCGAAAGGCCTATCTACTCACAAAAAGACTTTGATAGGGTATGTACACAGTTTCATTAGATGTTGACCTTTAACCCCCATTTTCTCTTGACCTTTAATATCCCCCCCCCCCTCCCACCCCCTATATTTTGGTAAAATAATTGAATGACCGACATTGTAATAAGTAAAAAACAAAAATAAAGGATCTGTTTCCATGCCGAGAACCGTACAGTGCATTAGCTGCTAATTCCCTATTTTTATCGGCCAACCAGCGTTTAGTATGTGACATAGCCAGTATCACACTAGCTGACATTACTTTCCAGAATTCCCAGTGTTGGGTCTAGGGTAGGATGTTGGGGAGGGGAGGGGGAGGGGAGGGGCTATCCTATTCCACTTACTTCCACCCTCCCTGTTCTCTTTAACAATCATGTTGTAGCAAATAAGTGACTTGATGATTTGCTAAAATGTAATGTGCTGGGCTAAGCTGAAAGAAACACATAAACAACAGTCTTAGGTGTAAACTATAACACAGAGTTCCAGCTATCCTTTTAAAAGAGAACACAGAAGAAGAAGAAAAACTTCCCAGAACATATCCTCTTATCAGTTGCTAGGCTTAAGGCCTAGATCAGTTAAAGAAAAATAAACATGAAACGCTGCTGAAGTTGTATTGTATGCAACATACATATTCTATATCACTGTATAATAAGGTAATAAACTCCCCCTTGATTCCTTTCTTTTAACCAGCTGTAGGTTTGATTGATTGATTTGATTTAAGAACCGACATCACAGCACTCGGGGCATTCCCATAAGTGCTCCTTCCCCATCTTCAGCAGCCAGCGAAGAGTTCGGATTCTAACGGTGCCAGTAGCATTTTGATTGAATTTCTGTCTTGCCTTTCCTCTGAGCCTCGAGCATCTGCCAGAACCTCTCGTCACTCCCCGCTGCATCAGTCTCACCAGACTGTGGTGATCCATCTGCTCCTCCGAGCTGTACACGCTCTCCCACAAGGCACTAACCACGTCTGCCTTATCATGTATCAATATTATACCAAGTTGTGATGAGCTAGCCAGTCTGTCTGCTTGTTCATTTCATAACACACCCGCGTGCCCTGGTGAAAAAATCCAGTGAAGCATGCCATTCTGCACGAAGCATACCTGTTCTGATCTTCCTCAGCATGCTTTCTGAATCAGTTACAATCACGATGTGTGTGTGTGTCACCAGCTGTAGGTGATAGCTACGAAGGATTCACATGAGACTGGCTATGTCATCCTTTAGAAAACTATAGCTGCAAAATCTAACGAATCATACACAAGTTCCCAGGAAGTTAACCCGGTCAACAAATGCTCAGTGAAGTCAGATGTGTTGATCCAAAAGGCGCAGATATTGCAGCTGTGCTGTGAACAGGCATGGCGAATTTACATCACTGGGACAAATGGAAAGAGGAAGATTTACAAGTTCACAAATGTTCTTGTTGTGAGTTGATGGACAATATATGCTTCATTGAGAGATTAAAGGTTCTGAAAGAAGCCTTTGTTTGTTTTCTTTTTTTCTGTCTGTTTGGTTTTAATTTGTCAATAAAGCTGGCTTTACATCATAATGGAAACAGGGCTTTGAGGGTGGCAAACGTCCAGCCCGAAATATTGCTACCTGGGTGAGGTCAAAGGTTAAGAAGAGTGAGTGCTCCTGTTCATGTATCTGCAAGTTCATCATATCACATCTTCCTTTTCTGACCATCATGAGAGACTACAGTCTGAGACATGACCTGGTCGCCGACATCGTTGCTGGTTTGACTGTGGGAGTCATGCATATACCACAGGGTAAGTTAGAAGAGACACTGTAGGTTAAATCTCTGCGTTGTTTCCTAAAACTGGCTTCCTCTTCTTCTTAAATGTATGTGTGTGTGTTTTCTGTTTGTGCATTTATGTCTATGTATGTGTATGTGTTTTATGTTTGTGTATGTATGTTGATGCATGTGTGTATGTATTACGTATGTCTGTATTTGAGTGTGCATGTATAAGAATGTAGGAGTATGTATACGTGTGTGTGAGTGTGTACGATTGTGTACACATGATGTGTGTATGCATTATTCTATAATTTATATTTCTTTATTATATCCATAACATGCATTATTGATAACAAGCATTAGTACTCTGAAAAATGAGTGCTTAGAAGGGCCGAATGTCAGACGGGCCTGCGTGCCCAATGTGTAACCCTTTGAAAATAAAGTTTGTTAGTTTGTTCATTCTTCCTATTCTCTACTTCCACTTTTATCACTGCGGGTGTCAAGATATAAGGTTTTGCTTCTTGATCTTCTTGCCACCGCAGCTATAGACACATTGTTCTTTGATGTTGTCTTTCCATACTATTCTTGGTCTACATCATGCTCTACATTATCATACTCCTTCTCCTTTTTTGATGTTTGCCTTGAATGGTATGGTTATCACAAGCTTTCTCTTTTATGACTTAATTTGAGGTTTTATATCATCTGATCACTCCTGCAGCCTTTCACGGACATCTCTTTCCATTTAATTCAGTAAAGGAAAAAAAGGAAAAGAGGGAGACCAAAAAAGACATGGGTAGAGATTTAGGCTGAGCTGAAAAACAGGCCTCAAACATCAGATCCCTTGCATCTGACCAACAGAACTGATCAGATGGTCAGCAGCAACTGGGGACCGAATGACATGTAGGGTGTGGGACTATAATGACGATGATGATTTCAGTTTCTGGAATATGATACCTGTTTTCTTCAACATTGGGGAGAATGTCAGAGTTCTTTATATCCAGGGGATCTGGCCAACACTCCACACTCCGGGGAGGGGCGAGACCGATATACAATCATACTGTTACTGGTACCATCAGAATTTTAACTCTTCACTTGCTGCTGAATATAGGGACGGAGCGCTTATGGGAGTGTCCTGAGTGCTGTGATGTCGATTCTTAATTCAACATTCTTAAACCATGGTTTCTGGAAGAAGAGGCAGGGAGTTACCTGCACGAATGTGCTCATGGAACATTTGAGATACCGACAGCTTGAATATTCATGAGATCATGGAATTAACTAAGACACTCTAGTGTCTTCAAAGTTAAGATGACTGACTTGCATGATGTCATTCTATATGTCTCAGTCTTTCTCTGTACAATGGCCAAAAGTATCACACAAAGCATGAACTTCACATCTTCAGTAACAGTCCTTAGGGATCTCTGTAAAAACTACACTCGTGAACTGAACACTTTTCCTTGAAATGGGCCCAGGACTTTCAGAGCTCAAGACAAACAGCTTGACTACTTGACCATAACACCCCCCCCCCCCTGGGGTGTGTGTGTGCGTGCGTGTGTATGTGTGGGGGGTTGTGTGTGTCTCTCTCTCTCTCTCTCTCTCTCTCTCTCTCTCTCTCTATATATATATATATATATATATATATATATATATATATATATATATATATATATATAGTATCTTCCTGATGAGCCATAATAGAAAAACATTTTTCCAGAGAATACATAATGACGATAATTATGTTACTTAGTGTTCATGTATGTAATCCTATAATTCCAATATGGCAGGGGTTTGTAGTCAGCTGCAAAAGATTTGGCAGTAGATCACTTTCCAGTGATATTAACAACAGAAGCAAGAAGGTCAATGTTTATTTGTGGGATAAGCCGAGAAAAAGAAGACAGTTTGCCATTTTTATCTAAAAAAGTTAGGTACCAGATCCACTATCCGAAGATTAGCATTTGTATCTTAGGAATTGTGAATGCAGCTTATGACACACATGGTTTGTTGTTATCGATCTAGTGGCGCATGAGCTTTCGCCCTCTGGCCCAATGCCATGTAGTGGAATTTGCATGTTTTCACAAGCTGTTCTTTTCCTCCGTACAAGGTGTTTCACTTGTCTGGTCTCGGAGGAAGTAGCATTCTTCTAGTCTCGCTGAGTTTTTAGCACTCAAAGAGATGGTGTTCAACAGTTTCGTAGGGATAGTTACATAGCTGGCACTCTGGGGAAGTGGTGTGGCTGTATTCTGTTTAGATGTCCACTGAGTGGAAAATGTTGTGTTCTGAGTCTGAAGATGGTGGCCTAGTCTCTTCTTGTTAGATGGTTAATGTTGTCGTTAGGATCAGGGCAAGTCATATATCTATAGAACTCTCTTCCAGTATTTGTCATGGCCCTTCTTTTCAGCAGTCTTTATTTATAGCTCTTATAAGGGTTTTTGCTGTCTGTAAGGGTTTAAATCAGCTGCAGTTTAGTCTTGCATTCCGCTCAAAACTTTACAGTTCTCTTGATATCATGGATGGAATTCATTCCAGCACCCTTGGCCTCTCTCATAATTTGTCCCATGGTTTCTCTTTTACATCTCTGTTTCATTAATCCATTTGTTTCCCATTTCAGTGTCTGTTTAGTGATTCTCTGTTCGTCTGTCCTCATGGTGTCCCCATTATATTACCATCTTCTTTGCATTTCTCTTATTTCTTCACTTTTCTTGAATTCATCCCATTTCAAATTCCTCAGTTTTCTTTGGCATTTCCTTTTTCTTCACGTTCAACTGCTGTAAAATCTGGCAGAAATTATTTGGTTGATCTTCCTCTTGTGGACTTTGCTCTTGTTCCAGAATTTGAGTTTTGCATGAACATCCGTTTTACAGATCTGACTTTTTTAAATGCTGACTGAGAGTTCTTTCCCTTTAGGGAGATAATTAGTTGACTTTTACGACATTCTTGTTGGTGGGGGGTGGGGAGTTTGGGGGGGGGTGTGGTGGGTAGGGTGGGGGGGGGGGGGGGGTGGGGAGTGGGGGTGTTGTGGGGGGGGGGGGTGAGGAGCAGTGGGTCTATTTTTTTCTGTTTCCCAAAATGGGGCCCCAGAACATGCACGGAAAACAATAGGAATTTATTTTGTTGTTGCAAAGACTGTACTCAAAGGATAATTAGAAGGGCGGGGGGGGGGGGGGGGGGGGGGGGGGGGGGGGGGGAGGGGGTAGTCAAAGAAGAGGAGGGCAAAGAAGAACCTGGAATGACAACATCAAGAAATGGACAAGACTAAGTTATCATACACTTATTCATCTAGCATGTTATGTTATGTATTTATTTTGTTGTTGTTATGCATTTGCTTTTCATTCAATATTTTACAGATATGGCAATTGATTATCATCTCCAGGTATGGCTTATGGTCAGTTGTCGACACTGCCACCCGTGTATGGCCTCTATGTTTCTTTTTTCCCTGTCATCCTGTACTTCTTTTTTGGCACATCCAAACATGTTTCCACTGGTAAGTGATCTAGTTTACACCCTGTGCTTATTTGTAAACAGTGTTCTTTTTAGAGTTAAAGTGACTCAGTATAAGAAATACAGAAAATATCCTGGAAAGTAAAGGCTGCAGTCATGTTACTGACCACATCATGACCATATCATGAGTGCCGTATACCCAGCATGCTTCGAGGCATGCATTTGGGAGTTTTCCTTATTTAATTTTGGAAGTGGTTGCCTAATTTTTACTTAACTCTTTGAGTCCCAAGGAACGCATCATACGTTCATAGGTTACTGCCTAGAAGCCCAATGAACGCATGATGCGTCGATTTTAGACTCTTTTGACTACCTCTTGGGCCTGTGATGCTAAACCCTCTGGGGCTCAAAGAGTTAAACTGTTTTAGACATTATAATTGTTGCTTCTTAATTACAAAGCAATATCTCCATATCTACATACTGCATAAGAAATTCTGAAAACTACTCTAATAGAGATAAAAAGACAAATCCTAAGCATAGTCTTCTATTCCAGCTTTAGGTTACCTGTGTCGGACTTTGATAGATATCACCAAAGAAAATTAGAAGAAACTAACAATCTACAAAATGAGATATTTGAGAAAGGCTGCTAACAAAGCTAGAAGAGACTGAATGTTGAATGTTGAATTAAGAATCGACATCACAGCACATGAGACACTCCCATAAGTGCTCAGTCCCCATCTTCAGCAGCATCAAAAAGTTCCTATTCTGATGGTACCAGTAACGGTCTGATTGTATATCCATCACATCCTTCCCCTGAGTGTTGAGCATTGGCCAGAGCCTCTGCTGTTTCCTCGCAGCGCCATTCTCTTTAGACCGTAATGATCTATCTGCGCCTCTGCACTGTTTACTTGTTTCCAAAGGGCCCTCACAATTTCTAACTTGTCATACGTCAATTCACCACCAAGTGGTGCAGAGCCAGCCAATCTATCTGCCTGCTCATTTCCCAACACACTGACTGAGAGAAGAGACTGAGAAATTACTTGTTTAGAAGAACTATTGCACGTTATTAAATTCATTGAGAATCAAAGATTGAGATGGGTCAGCCACTTAATGAGAATGAATTAAACGGTATTAGCAGTGAGAGTGACTAGCATCAGAATGGAAACACTGAGACGCTGAGGGAGACCTAGAGAAAGATGGGTGGAAGGAGTCACTGCCAGTCTAAGACTTCACAACAAATTAACATACTAAGCAACAGAACAGGCTCTGGGTTGGCTACTTTTCATCTGTTAACCCTACCAGACCTGAGGCCCTGAACCTAACTGCCCCCTATACCTGAGCTCTTGGGCATTATCATGAAAAACATGCAAACAAGTGGTTAGAATTAGATGAAACTTCAAGACATTGTAAAAGATAGGTTCAACTTTCATCTAGCATCAGTGTTCCACCTTTGTGTGCCAATCCACCCAGCAGAATCAGCCTTGTTTCACAAAGTGAGCACCAGATGTGGCTGTTTGAGAAACACGCTCCCTTATCTAACTATGGATCTAGTTTTAAATCTATAATTTACAAGATTCTCTTAATCACTCGAGCTCTCACTGACTGTGTCACTTAAACTGGGAATGTATTCTTCATGAAGTTCTGACTCCTCAGAATCTGAATTAACCAAAGTATTGATCACCTGTTGGACTGAAAAGCCTAGATCTACTTCACTTTCCTGTTGCAGTACTTGGCTCATCAGCCACTCGTTTCATTGTGAATTTTCAGAATTTTTTCTTGTTAAATCACATAAAATAAATCCAAACACACATGGTCAGCCATTCACAATGACTAGCCACAAGGTGTGATCACAATTGGTTGGTTATTTTTAGTTTGTGACGTGTTTTATCACGTAGTACACAAATTATCACAGACATCAGAAGGAGACAGTCATAATTTTTCAGCCATGTTATGAGAAGAGGGAAAATAGAACATGTTGTGACCACTGGAAAGATCTGTGGAAGGAGAGATAGAGGAAGACAGCGAGAGAAGATGCTTGACAGTCTTGTTGCATGGCATGGAGGTGTGTCGGCACACGAGCTGATACATGCTGCAGGAGATCGCAGATTATGGAGAGGCATGATTGCCCACGCCAGTTGGCAAGGCAACTGATGATGATGATGATAAGTACACAAAATACTAAAAATTAGGTACAGCAGTTTAGCAACAGATTAGGAAATTACCAGAAAAGTGGTACAGCAGCCTGTTAAACTGTAACACCCAGCAGCAAAAAGCTGATACTGAACAAAGAAGAAGATTTCTCTATTGTAAATCTCCATCGAGGTTGTTGACTTCTAGAGATTACACAGTGAGGTTCTCAGTATAGTACCAGTGAGAATCCAAAGGTGAGTTTCAAGGTCAGTGTTTTCTTTTACAAATCTGACTTGATGCAGATTCAAACTCCAGACCTTGAGACCAGCAGGTGAGTATCTCTTCAGTGTGCTGTCATAGCTCCCACATCATGTTATAGGCTGATACTCGACCTCTAAACCACTCCATAATGTGTGCAAACAGCCTGACACTTTACAAGCAATTCCAGGGAAATTAGACTAAAAAGCTCAACAAAATGGGGAAGCAGAAAAACGTGCTCAAAACAACACAACATAACGTTTCGGTTGGGCAGCCTTTTTCAAACATAAGTGAACTACACTTTACACTACTATGAAAGTTTTTTTTTTTCTCATCTGGTCATCTCTTATTGAAGCATAAACCCTCAACCAACTCATGTCAAGCCATTTGTAGACTTGTCCTTGAGTGATTTGATTTTGCAGCTAATATTTTCTGTAGTTTGAGCTAGCTAGTCTCACCTGGCATATTTTCCATAGGATACTTTTTTTATCTTTTTAAAGTTACAAGTAATTAGTGGGGAAATTTGTAAAACCACTAAAGATACCAGTGCCAAACATGGACACTATCTAAAGTCCATATACGCAAAGTCACCACCTGCGAGATGAGATGCCTGAGAAAAGCAGCCAACCTAACCATCCGAGATCGAGTGAATAATGACACTATCAGACAAATTGTGGGAATGACACCTTGTACTTGATTCATCAAGAAACAGCAGATCAAGTGGTATGGTCATCTCGTTAGAATGCAGCAGGATGAAAAGCAATCACAAGCACTACATCTCGGTAGGTCAGCTACAAGAGCAAAAGGACGGCCGCGGAAATATGGATCTAAAACATTAACAAAACTCTACGTCTTCACGGCACAACAAAAGCTAGTGGTAGGCAGCGTGCACTGGATCACAAATTATTCCTCCCTATGACGCTTAATGGCAGAAGTGGTTTATGATGATGATGACTAAAGATATGGAATGGAAGTTAAATGTGTTTGAATACAAATGCTTGAGGAAAATGATCAACCTACAGACAGAGACGATGGCACTATTTTGGACTCATTCTGAGAAAATATGCACAGAGAATCACCAAACAGGTGCATCTGTTCATCCATTTATGAAAATTAAAACAAAAAAATCAACCATGTTTAACCTGCTGCAAGCAACATCAGTTATAATTGTGGTCTGGTTTCTTTGTAAAAATTTTTTTAGCTGAGAAATGTTAATTGCATCAGAACTAGTGGCGTGGAGGGGTACTCTAGTACCTAGTGAGGCTTGTTTGAGGAGGGGGCTGGGTTGCATTATACACAACCACACACACACATATAAAGACATACATGTACAATTACACACACACAAACATATAATTACACACAACATACATGTTTGCAGGCCCACTTGGGAATGCATGCATAGGCGTTTGCATACACACACACATACATATATACACACATATATGCACACCTACAAGGGAATGCATGCACTTCCATCATTCCATTTATGTAAAACAAAACACAAAATTGACTACGTTAACCTGCTACGAGCAGCATCGGTTACAATTGTAGTCTTCCAATTCCAATTCCAATTCCGTTAAGAAAAAAACAAATCAAAAACTCAACCATGTTCAACCTGCTGCTAGCCAGCTGAAGCTGCCAAAGGTGCTGGGCTGGATTCCATCCATGATATCGAAGTGATTGCACAGGATAGGAATGGAGTGTAGGCTCTGTGTGACATATAATGGCACCACAGGACAATCAATGAATGAATAGATGAATGAATGAGTGAATGAATTGATGAATGAATGAGTGAATGAATGAATGAATTAGCAGTGATTTGTTCTTTGCTTTTCTTCTTTCTTTTTTTGTGTTTGTCAGGTACATTTGCAGTCATATCACTTATGGTTGGTTCTACGGTAGAAAAAGGACTTAAGGCACAGGGCCTAGAGCTGAAGATCTGGAACACAACGGTCAGTACAGGGACAAATGTGACGACTCAGCTAATGGACAACTCAGCTGAGTTGTTGAACGTCAAATTGAAACTAGCTATGTCTGTGACATTTGTAGTGGGAGTTATTCAGGTAATGTCGTCAGATTTTAATTGTTATACAGATTCTTAGATAGACATTCATGTTTCATGGAAAAAAAAAAAAAAAAAAACTTTCCAGTACAGCAGTTCTTGAAAGACAGTGAATTAAAAAAAAAAATTTGATGAAAAAAATTACAAAAGAAATAAAATAAAATAAAGTGACAATTGAAATATTTTGTACCACTATCAAAACCAAGGCAGGTTGTCTGCTGCCTAATTGCCTATAGCCAGGATTCTTCTTCTTCTTCTTCGTGTTCACCAGCTGTACACTCTGGCGGAAAGTTCTGGTTGCTCGTCCACTACTGAACTGCATTCCTGCTCCAGAACCTGAGTGTTGCGTGTGCATCAGTTTTACAGATCTCATTCTCTTGAACACAGATTGTTGGTTCCTTGCCTCTCCGGCAGATGCACTCCGACTTCAAAGGAAGCTCCCAAATTAGTCGACTCTTACGACATTTTTTTGGGTAGGCAGTGGGTCTATTCTTGTTTTCCCCACAATGGGGCCCTGGAACCCACACGGGGGTAGCCAGGATTGAACCTGGCACCATAGATTATGAAGCGTGTTTGCAACGCCTAACCACAGGCGCAAACT